AAAGCACAAGCACCTGATTACACCAAATGTAGAGGTGCGTCGTCAGTCGGGCTCAACTCCTTCATTCTTTCACAGTATACATTCTTGTGTTGGCCTCAAAAATGTATCAAGCTAACGATTGTAAGATTATCTACGATGGTCAAGACGAAATGCACAAAACACGATTTGTAAACCAGTTCAACGACTGCTTAATACCCAAATTAAAGAATGCTCTTAACGTGAGATTGTTGCGAAGCAATACCGACATAAGCAATACGATTTAATTCATTCTTGATCACACTGAAGAAGTGGCACATTACTTATGGAGAAGATTCGACTATCCAGCGATACTTTTTCCACGAAATTGCTCATTTCATCCAAAATTCGAATAGAATTTCAGTTCGAAGCTTAAACTGGGTATGGTATTGCAGATATTGATGAATGTGCGACTGGTGACGCCGTATGCTCACCAGATGCATATTGCGTTAACACTGAAGGAGGATATGAATGCGTTTGTAGGGATGGCTTTATGGGTGATGGAGAGACATGCTTCGGTCCGGTTTAAATTATTCAGTCGCGCTTATCATTATCACTACATTGATCACTGTCACTAAATTGATCGACAGCTCTGTAGCAATAGGAAAGAAGTTTTGAGTGACATAAAGGGAAGGGAAAACTTAAAAAAAGCAATTATATCTGGAAATATGATGAAAAAAATACCGATATTGATGAAAAATTCAGATATTGATGAATGCGATCCTGGTGAACGTTTGGATAACTGTGACCGAGAAACGCAAATTTGTATCAACATTATTGGATCCTTCAATTGTTCGTGTAAGAAAGGCTATGAACTCACACCACNAGGATGCATTGGTGAGCACAACAACTCTTTGATGATCACTCATGTTCTGATGTGCAGTCATTCACTGGGTCGGATTTGGCTCACGATCAGTTTAACTTTCAGATATCGACGAGTGTCTATCACCGGAAAACAACGATTGTGCCTCAAAAGGAGGTATCGTTCCAATGAAGTGCGTCAATGGTCCCGGTTTCTACACATGCATTTGTCCAAATGGTTACATGCAAATCGAACCAAACGTTTGTGCAGGTCACTTAGTTGATCTGTTATACATTAATTGATCTGGGATCTGTTTGCATGTATTGATTCTTATATTCCAGCATTTTGCTTGACCGTGCGATTAGGCCATTGCGCTTAATTGCCTATGGAAATGAACTGAGTATCCTGATTGAATTTTCATCTAATTCATTGGTTACAATACGTTCATGCTCCTCAGCAGTTTTAGTAGATCGTTATTTGAATCTAATTATTCCTTCTGAAGTTTCACTACATCCACGAATCGACTCTATTCAGTAACTTTCAATTATTTGGTTCAGAGTTTCACGTTAGTTCGAGTAATTTTCACCGCATCACCGCATTCGTCTCAAAGCTTCAATCGCTTTATTCGATATATCGCTTTTCAGATATCAACGAATGTAACTCACAACCGTCAGTATGTCCAGAAACCGAAGCAGACTTTTGCAACAATCTTGAGGGTTCATTCGCGTGCCAGTGTAAGGATGGCTATCGTAAGCCAAGAAAGTGCAAAGATCCAACGAGATGCCCTTGTCAGAACATCAACGAATGTTTAACGGTATGAATCTGAGTGGAATTGTGAAAGTTCTGTGAAATGAATACTTTAGAGATATTTTTCTTTGTTTAAGCATTAACTAGGGTGTGAATAATAATAAGAGCAGGTGGTGTAAGGTGCGTGATAAGAATGTGGAAGACAGGTATGGTAGACAGATACAAGTGAGTGGCCAGGTTTCTTATTGATATCTATCATTTAATTTTGATCTATGATTGAGGCAGTGATCTGTGATCATTTTGACATTATAACTCATCAACTGGACACCTGCAACCTGAAAATATGAGATATTTGAAATGAAAATTTTCCGGACATTAAAACAATTCATTCCATCAAAGGGGCACTGATATGGTTGCATCGAAATGAAAGTTGTTCTCTCTTCAGGGTGTCAAGAAGAACGGCAAACTGAGACGAGCATGCGGTAGTGGTGCAAAATGCATAGATATACCTGGATCTTACCTGTGCGAATGTGCACCAGGTTATGCCGGTGATCCGTACGGAAAGGGTTGTGAATGTTCGTTTTACAATCCAATTCTAATATCGGCTAGGAAATGAATGCTCAAATAATGATTTTCATTGATTGCAGTGATGGATGCATGTGCTGCATTCAATCCGTGCGACATTATTACTCAGGTTTGTAAGTCAGCGAATAACGAAGCGTATTGCGTTTGCAAGGAAGGATTCCTCAATAATGCTGTCGATATGTGCGTTCCGGATCCATGCCTTATAGACAACGGTCGGTATCTTTGACATGCTTAATATACCGCAGATTTCGTTCGTTTGATGAATTTAGTCTAGTTGAGGAGGGCGGAATTAAATCAGAGTGCATCAAATTGATAAGTTAATCAGAATCCTTTATAACAAGCTGATTGGATAGGGTGAAAATAGCGGCATAGAGTGCGATTAGATGTGCTGGATACTAGGATTGTGGACTATGGATTAGTTCGCTAGTTCGGATGAATTGTAATTTCAGGTGGATGTGGTAGGGATGCGACATGTAGACCAACAAGAGTCGAAGAACTAATTGTGCCTAAATGTCGTTGTCCTGTAGGATTTGAACTGGATTTCGAGAATAACTGTATACCTATTGATCACTGTAAATGCCAGGTACACGTTTTAGTTTGCATTTTCTGAGTTTGTCGAAGCCGGAACACTTCATTTCATTTACTATCATTTACTATCAACAGAAGTCAACAATACTATCAACAGCGAGAACAGTATGGGATTCGCTATCGTCATGAAACGACTAAACTGAAATTCAGGTGAAGACACCATTGGGTATCCCATGTAAGAGTGAAGTTATGTGTATCGGTGTGGATATGTTATGCGTAGACTATGGTACTGAGTACAACTGTACTTGTCAAAGTGGCTATACACTTTCACCAGATGGAACGCAGTGCATAAGTATGTGTTGTTTTCATCTTATCATCGAGATGATGATTTCCAAAGGATATGTGTCACAGGATTGGACTTCTCATACTTTGGATTCATTATTTCATCGCTCCCGTCTTCTCAATTAAGCGGATTCCCACAATGGAACACATCATCGTACCACCACGTTCCATTGATTAGTTTCTACTAAACCTTCACTGAGGGTTTCCGTAAAAATGATCCTTTCTCACAAGATGATCTATAATTAGAAGTTAGTGAGTGAAGTGGACAGTTAAAGTAATCGCTAATGAAATCTTCAGATATCGATGAATGCGTTGAAGGTATTAATGGC